ACAGAAAATTTCCTGGTGTTGTGGTTAAATGGTGAGGGAGGAAGAGAGATCTGGTCACAGCAATGATGTAGAGCAATTTTGGTTGTGATGAGTGATGTTTATGACTGCCCAAGAGACGATCAGTTCTGGAAGCAGTGGGTAAAATTCTGCTCTCATTTACTCCCACAGGCTGCACGTGATTCCTCTGAAATCAGTGAGTTTAGATGCAACACGGTTAAAGTAGATATTAATCCATTCAGCAATTTTATCATAATCCACCAAACACCTCAACGTGTAAATTAATTCAAAACTCTGTAGCAATTAGAGAGAGGCAACCTAAAAGGATTCAGAGTCAGTCCATGGAATAAAAAATACATTAAGGATCTGCACAAAAAGTCAATGCAGGAATATTCTGACCCCCTGTGAGAAAGGTAGAGGACAAAGAGGAGATGGCAAATGCAGTGCACAGGACAGCTGCACAAACTGTCTGTGGGTAGTAGTCTCCCCAGTTTCCAAACCTGGCTTGGGAAATGTTGGGTCTGCTGGTCAGGAGCACTCTGGGACCGTCCTTTCAGTGTCATGGTCCTACCAATGGACATTCAGGTTGCAGGGCTCCCCAGCATTACTTAATTTATTATTGTAGATGTTGCCTGGGTAAATGGTGTCATCAAATCTTTTGTTGTCATTTGTCTTTGTTCCATTGTATTGTCCCAGTCTCGCATTTCTACCAGTCAAGGCAAAGAAAGCCGTGATGTTACGCGGAGAAGGAAGAAACTTACTGCAATGGCTAAAACACTGCAACCTGCCAATCTGTCAGACATGAGATTTTTCTGGTTTCAGATTTCAGTCGTATGCTTTGAGGGGGTCCTTGTTTCCCACAGAAAAGATGTTTATGGGATCACGTTATGTGTGTGGTAGGGCTGTGTTTCTCTCTGTCCTACAATCCTGCTTTCACCAAGAACTTTGGAAGCTGGAAGGCAACAGCAGCCACATTTAACAGAGTTATAATGATGCTTGCACATGTGCGTGCACACCCCTGCACAATCTTACCTTAGTTTTCTTTCACTCTGCCTTTCATGAAAAAAACATTATCCAGTGGGATGTCGTTTCATCTGAAATTATCTAATGCTGTGTGGAAGTCACTGGTGTGATAAAAGGAAAATTTTCATGACTCGTGACTAAATACTGCAGCTTGAGGAATACGGAACCCCCTTTTCTTTGACGAGACTTACTTTTACTGATTTAATTACCAGTTGCTCAATATCCCATCAAGAAGGCTGGGATGAAAGTCCTCTCTGTAACAGCTGACAAAAACAGGCACAGCCAGGAAAATGTGTGCGCTGGGATCAATTCCAACTGTTTGAAGTTTGGCTATGAGGATAATTTGACTTTCAGCAGGTTTTACCTCATGCTGTGTTTTACCCTGGGACTCTGTAATTTTAACTTTCCTCAGCTGCAAAGCGATGCTCAGGTGACCGGGGAGGGGGCTATTGTTCAGCCCCAACTTTGACTCTTGGGGACAATGCTGTGTTCTCACTCAAGAGCATCACTCTGAGCAAGGTGCTTTCTCAGGAGTATAGTCTTTACGCACCTCCTTTTTGCAGCGTCTCTTTGTGTGACAGCACTGTGTCCATAGCTAACATCCCAAAATCCAGAACCGAAAAGAAGGTGTTTTTAGCATCTCAGTAACACAGTATAGGCGCATCATTCATATAAATGACTCAGTAAATTTGCTGAAGGCTATGCAGGATAAGTCCCCACTAATGCAATTTAAATAAACACACATTTAAGCCAAATGCCTGTGATTTAACTGTGAGGACAATGTGACATGAAATTCTGGGAAGGAGGGACAAAGCAAAGCCTGCATGTTGGTGCTTTAACTTTTCGCGGGCGAAGAACCCAGCATGGAAGCAACACACGGCTCCTTCCCTGTGTTTTTTTTTCTTAGACAATTTAAATACACGTTTCTACCTAACAGTATGTGTGAGAGACTGCAAGGGCTACAGCCATATGTTCTTGTGACCTGTGCCAGTGCCAGCAACCAGCATCCCCTCCCTCCCACCCACTCTGTCCCAATCTGCTACTGTCCCCAGGTACGGCTACCCCCTGCCCTGGGGGGGATATTAACCATCTCTGCCCAAAAAGACGAGCTGTGGCACATGGAATCCTGTGGTACCTAAAGCATCTTGCAAACCTGCCTGTCTTCTACTCCTAGTAGGAAAACACGTATCCAGCTGTACCTTCTCTCACCAGATGGTAACGTGCAACAAAGAATGAAGCCCCCCCCCAAAAAAAAAAAGAACAAACAAGCAAACTTAATCCAAGCTTGCTTGAGAGGACTGAAGTTTTATCTTCAGTTACACTTTCTTATATTACAGTAAATGCTTCCATGAAAGCACCTTTTAGTAATTGTTTAATAAACTTTGTTTAGAAAAATATGAACTGTGTAAATTACCTTTTTTTTTTTCCTGAAAAAGCCTGATTATAATTCAGCATTTCTTCTTTAGTCCTCTGCCATGACAATATTTATTTTGTTAAGAAATATATTAGCTCTATAAAGTTTCTTTTCACCTGAATTTTCATTTCAGATGTTATCAATGTTTTTCTAATTATATTTTATTTATTTTTGCACAGATATCATTAAGGAAAATTCACTAAATGTAACAATGTTTCTTTGTTACTCTTAGATGAACAAATTTCATCTCCTATATATATTTTTATATATAACCATATATTTGTTCCTGTTCATAAAATTTCCTTCCCGTTTCAGGTAATTTATTTAGAATTGCAAATGAATCCTGTCCTTTAAAACTTTTTTTTTTTTAAATCTTTCTTACTAATATCTTGCTAAGATTGGCACTAACACCAGAAACAGCACATCTTACATCTCCTTTTTTTATGATCCTTGGTCTATATTCTGCTGGCCATCTGCATCTGACAAAAGGAAGCAGAAGAGAAGCTGTGGTGCTGTCCCAAGCCCACTGGGTTACCAGCCATCAGGACCATATGCCTGAAAAAAATCATCTTAGAGGGCAATTTCTTAAAAGACAGTCTAGCTCTCCTGCTGCTCTGTGCCGGGGGACTTGGCTTTCCCGCCTCCTTCCCTCCCAAGGAGGATGCTCCACATTAATCAAGAGACTATTTTATCTAAGCTAGTTATCAAGACTCTGGAAAGTCTTGAAATTCAAAGTTCTCTTATAAGGATCTTGAGAAGAAAGGGAAGGATATGTTGAGAAATTTCCACTTCTGATGCTGGTGCTTGTGCCATACTTGAAGCACCGATATTTACCCTTTCTAAACTATCAAGTCTTGGTCTTACCCTGCTCAGGCAGAGAAAAATTATATATGACCTCAGTAGTCTCATATAGATGTAAACAGACTCTGCAGGAGGCAAAAATTCCCTCAATATAAGCAGGCTTCTGCCTGAGGATAGATATCACTTCTTGTTCCCATTTTAGAATCCATTTCTAAATGCCGCAGTAAAATCCAGTGATTTGGCATGCTTATTTATTTGGGTGACAGCCAAGGGGAAATTATAAAGCAATATATTTCAGTTCAGGTGAACAAAAGCTGAGTGGTTCATCTATTGTGTCTGTGAAATGCTCATTTAAATGTCATTGCTGTGGCTGTCTGCTTTTCTTCCCAAAAGAATTCTGCCGTGCAACTGCTGTTCAGTTCAAACTGGGACTTTAACAACTAAGTAATGATAATGCATGGTAATATTGCCTATAAAAGGATGTGAATTCATTTGAAGTACCTTTGTGTTTGCCTTGAAAGAAATGCAGGGAATAAAGAAAGTGTTAGTGTGGTACGTAGCCTTAGCTGTGTGAAAAACTGAACTCAAAAGATTTGAAATTCCACACTCTGGTGCATTAGTTTAAAAAAATACTGTCAATCTTCAGAAAAAAATGATTAAAATTGGCTGTAAGAGCCTGGTATGGATCCTATTTAAATCGATCCATTTAAAAATCAGCCAACAAAAAAAAAAGAAAAAAAATAGCTCCAAACAAAGCAAAAAAACCCAAAGTAAACCCCCCTCCCCGCCAAATTCCAAAATCACCACAACTGGAGGTTGTACTACAGGGTTTTTTATTTATCTGCAATTTACAGGGATATAGAAGTAGGATAAGAAACCAGAATAACTGCTGAGTAGTTTTTTACCTACCACAAAAATTTAAGAAATCTTGTCTTGGGTTGCACTTCAAGTGTCAAGCAGAGCTGGTTCCTTGGTGACAATCATTATGCTGAAGCCACAGGGAATGTCTTAAAAATATATCACTGGGTTCAGTGATATTTTTGGGAGGAGGTGGTTTCACATCCTGAGTTCTTATCTCATTCAGGAAAATTACCCTTCAGCCTTGTCTCTGAACTAATAGGATGGGAATCATATCATCTTGTTTAGCAATCTGAAAGATATGTCTGTCCAAGTTGGACATCTTCAACTCTACAGTTAAGAAAGATGCCAGTTAGAGACAGAGGCAGTTCTGGGTCATTTGATGTAGGGCTGGCTGGATCGTGCTGTGAAAAGTGCTGATTTTCCTCCCCTCATTACAAAAGGGGTCTAGCAAGAATTGTAGAATCATAGAATGGTTTGAGTTGAAAGTGACCTTAAAGATCATCCAGTTCCACCCCACCTGCCGTGGACAGGGGCACCTCCCACTAGAGCAGGTTGTGCAAAGACCCATCCAGTCTAGGGATGGGGCAGTCACAACTTCTCTGGGCAACCTGTTCCAGTGTCTCACCACCCTCACAGTAAAGAATTTCTTCCTGAGATCTAATCCAAATAACCCCTCTTTCAGTTTAATCAAAAGAAGTCCCATATAATGGGATCTACTGTGTGTTTTATTACACCAGCACTAGCTGTGGAAGCCAGATAAAGCCTACTTGGAGGTGCGAGTTCAGTCCTGCATAGATGAAGTCAAAAGGGTCTTTGCCAGCTTTTTTGCTGGGGGTACATTTGACACTGTTCTTTGAATGTGTGTGAAGATATCACAATTTCAATGAAAATAAACTCCTCCACATCATAATTGAAATTTCTATTTATTAATAAGTGGTGCAGTTTTTAAAGACAGAACATAAAAAATCAGTTAAGAAGTATCATTTGCATAATATATTGAAATAAACATATTAAAGTTGTTCAAATATTGGACAGTGCCAGAATATAAATTACACATACAGTTTAAAAATTACAATAAATAATATTATAAAGAGCACTAAAGGCCACTTGTATAAAAGTTGTGTTCCCTTGTCAGCCAGAATCTGAAAAGCATCTTTGTAGCATGGAGAAAATTTCAGTGAGCAAGGCACAAATACTAGTAATAATAAGATGCCATAACTAGAAAACAAAATGCAGTTGGCCATGTAACCTTCAGTCTCAGCGTATTCTTGAGGATGGAAATAGGATCCCACTTCTAGTATTTTGCTTCACTTAACTTCAGAGGGAAGCTACTAAAAGCTGAATTGGGCAGGATCAAATCTTACAGCCTAAATCATCAGAAGCAATAGCGATACTCAGGATCTCCCCCCCACACAGTGCCCAGCTAAAAACACTTGAAAATGGCCCCTTTTTCCTCTGCACCTCTGAAAATCAAAAGTTCACTTTGAAAGTGAACACTCGCATTCAGCTGGGCTCCTGAAAACGTGATATCACACCAAATTCATGAGGTGCTGTAGAAAATTTAGGTTTGTAGCACTTGGGCATCTAAAGGGGGCTGTGGGGTGCAAGGAATCAAGATCCAGTTCTTTCTCACATGCTCTGCACTAAGTGGGACAATTTCGGTTCATAGAGAGGCAGATGTGGCACTGCTGCAACATCTGGACCCCCAGCAGGGCTGAATTTGCTCCTTAATCTGCATTTTCTGATTGCTTTAGGCTGGGATCTACCAAACTGATTGGACCACGGTGCTCTCCTGAAGGCCACGAGTCAGCAGCCCCGCTACGCACGGGTTCAGGTGGGCTTTACTTGACGGCCACAACTTGAAGCTGAAAAATTTCAAACTGTTTCCACTCTGAACTGTAACAATGCAGCAAAGTCACAGATAAGAACAGAGCAAATATAGCCAAAGTCAGTTTTAGGGACTTTTCAGTCAATCTCTCCACATGTTGAATTCCCTTTTATTTCCATAGGAGCCAGATTGATTAATTCAGTGCAGGGAAAAGCCAAGGAAAAAACAGCAACCTTTTACATGACTAGATTTTTTTTAAAGGAGCAAGTCCTTAAATGGAGCATAAACCACATTTTCTATACCTGCATATTTTTGTTAAACATTCACCTCTGCTGTAATGAAATATTCTCAGTTTGAACCTAAAGTGAGGAAGGTTGATGGGCAACAATGCTGCAAAGAGAGGTACCCAATGTAAACACAGATTCACCTTTTCAACAGCTTCCAGATGTGTGTCATTTGTTAGTGAGTGAAAAAATCAGCATCAAAATGTCACTAAGAAAAGCATCTCTAAATCAGTGCTGTATTTTACAAAGAAATTAATAAATTAAGCTAGATAGGACCCAATCCTAGTGCATCAGTTTGAGGTTTCTTACTGATTTTAGGAAAAGCCAGGGAAAGCCCCACACTTTCTGATTTTGAAAAACATCTCAAGGCCTGAAGTAAATCCTTGCTCACTCATAAGATTTAAGAGCCAGCAAAGAGCTCAATAGTTAATTCTCTTTAAGGTTAACTATACGTAAACAAAATGTCAGTGTCAGTCTAGGTGCCAGGAAGATCTGACCCAAGCAAAATGGGTAGCTGTTAAACTGAAACGTCACACGCGAATGGAAGAAGGGATAAATCTAATCCATCCCTGCTGTGCAGAGTTCTGTTGACACAGATGCCTCTCTCGAATGAAATTGTGAATAATCGATTCCTTGTACGTGGTGAGCCTACTCTGCAAAACAGGTCCTGCCCTTTTAAATGTTGCCAGGGACAGAAATCACAGATACTTTACCTCATTTTGCCCAGTATCAATGGCAGGAACACAAACTGCAGTTCCAACATGGATTCACTTCCTGGACTCACCCTGAGCTGGAGTCTGATGAAGTTTGTGTTCACATCCCAGATCAGGGATGGTCTTCAGATCTTGATTTGCTGGAGACACCTTGACACGTGTCTGTTGTCAGCACAGGCAGCAGAACTGATGCACACCCTATTTTAAATCCAGGTGATGTAGGAGGTGGGGAGCTGCTAAACATGTCACCCTTCTGACTGAGCAGTGACTGCTTTATTAGAAAAAATAAATATTAAAATAAGATGTAAATCAGACCTTCCTTAGCTCTCTTCTTGGGTATCTTCCAGAGGATTCAGAGATGTCCACTGCAGAGGGTCTTGCTGACCTTACCATCAGTGCCTTTAAGGAAGAGGCAGACCTTATCTGGCTTGTTAGCACATCATTAAATACTTTATGATGTGGCTACAAATACCTGACCTGGGCGTTTTTAAGCTGCATGTAGCAAATTGGTGCTTACAGCCCATAGAAAATGCTAATTTGAGGGCAGTTCAGTTGCTAAGTGTACACAGTGCAGGGAAGTTCAAGTCCCCCTTGCTCTGGGGGTGCACTCTGTGTACAGGTGAAGACTCATGCAAGTCTCTAACCTTGCTTGAACTTTCTCTTGGAATGAACATACCTTTATAATGAGAGGATTTACGGATTTTCAGCCAGGTTTAATACTGAGAAAATATTCCCTTTATATAACCTGGCATGGGAAAAGTGAACTGAAGAATTTGAGGGGGGAACTGGGCAGGGAACTGCATGGCATAGCCCCTGTCAGAAACATTCACTAACTAAAATTCTCAGATTGCACTTGGTTTTTTGGCTGCCTTGATTTTTGATTACTCAGATTTAGAAAACATTTTAAGAAGGGCCAAATCAAATTAAATCAGTAGGGATGCCGGGAACTTGACATATAAGAAAAGTGAAGCATGCCTGTCTAGCACATACTTACACTAATTTCAGAAGAAATCTAGCAATGATGTTAAAATCCGTTTGCATTCTTTCTCATTCGTCATGTGAGGGTTAAATCTTATGAGTTGCCACAGACACGTATTACAGTATCAGAAAGCCTGCAGCAGGTGCAATGCAGGTATTTCCAAAAATTACTGATGGCCAAAGAATTCTTCTCAATATGCCAAATTATAATAATTACGCTTTTGTCAGCTAGTTCTATTTTCTTCAAGTTTAGCCATGAAACTGCACCAAATAGAGATTATCTTTCATGTCAATGGCAATTTTGTCAATTAAGTAATTACCAGAATTGTGTCTCATATCATCATAGTTACTGGCTTCAGAACAGCTCCATGGACTCAGCCCAGCTTCAAAGGCTGTAACTGGTCTGCAGTATTTACTGGAATAACTACAGCAATTTGTTCTCCCTGAAGCTCTGTCCCAGAAGGATGTATCATGATTTAGTTGAAGAAGCAGATGAAGTAAGAAGATCCTAATCCTTTAGCTGTCTCTTTAAATAAAGAATAAAGATCAAGGCAATGCCTACATCTGAAAGAGAATAGAAGCTCCCTGGACGGAATGACAGTTAAGAGATGTCAATGATACTGAGGAATCAAATTTGAAGTTTACTACAGAGGGCAAAACCCAGCAAGGTGTCTTCCACTGAAGCACACTCTGTCCAGGCCTGTGCAATACCCAGTTACCCATGGGAAGCCCAGTAAAGTGTATCTCTTTCTTGTGTTCTGATGGGATGTGAGTGTCCCTGATCATCTGACATTTCAGCAAGTCACCCTCTGCTCTTTTTGAAGTCAGCAATTTGGTCATTGTAGGTAATTGAGTTAAAGATGAGATTAACCTCATCCTAAAGCACGTGTGCTTCAGTTCTTGTACCCTGTGCTCACTGGCTGTACTGATCACTTTTCCACCAGCTCTAAAGACTCCATAACCAAAGAACTTGATATCTAATGCACACTTTCTCATGGACACCTAGATTGGCATAAACTATTTGGACAGGTTGGTTTCACTGTCTGTATAGATACTACATTCCCACTGTAGCGGGATGTGATCCCACTGTACACATCCCACAGATCACACTACTGGGTGGGATATAGTTCATTTCTGCCCTGTTCCCATTCTGCCCCTACTCCCAGAGTGTAGGAAAGCTGGATTGCTTTCCTACTCTCCGTCAACGTATTTCCAATTCCCATGAAAAAATATTTGGCTAAAGCCTAAGGAGCATGCTTATCCCTCTGTTGCTCAGGGACAGGTGACAAAAATGGTATTTGTTTATTTTTACATTGATCTTAAATATGGCACACATTCATGGAGTAGTCCATTTCCAAGAGAAACAGTAAACAGAGAGAAACAGATGCTGGCAGCATCCCACATGGTGGAACTCCCAGGGAACAGAGTAGAGAGATTCTGCCCATCTGAGGAGCTCAAAGCGCTTGGCAAATATTAGTGAATTGAGCCTTATAACCTGTGTTTATGTACAGAAGTAGAACTCCCAATTAGCAGATTGGGAAACTGAGGCAGGGTAACATTATGCAGCTTACTTAGCAGCACATAGGTCAATAAAATAGTGGAGTGTATAAACCTGGGGTTCCCTGCACTGAACAACCTTATTTTTGGAACAGAAAGAAAATTTGGCTCCATAATAAATGGATTTAGCAAAAGATTTTCTACAAAATAGCATTGTAGTCACGCTTTGAGCAATTTTATAAACATTAGTGGAGATTTTCAAAGTAGTTTGAAGGATTTCTATTTACATCTTATAATAAATAAATATCCATGACCAATCCCAGGAGATCCCTCTGATAATTTTAAATTCTACCCCTAATTTCATTTTGACATTTTATTTCATGGGCAGTTGTATAATAGATCTCATGAGAAACAGCTAGTTCACAAAACCATTTCAGTAAGGTCATTTACTTTGACTCAGCTTTTTCCTTGCTTTGAATATTAGATGTTCTTGGCTAGGCTGGTTAGAGTTTGATTTACTTACATTGGAAAATGGGTTCAGACATTAAGTTTCCACAAAGGGATATTGCTCCTGAAAATATTTTTACTTTGCTGCTCTGTTTACAAAATGTAGCAAGGACCACCATATCTCGCCTGTTAGCAATTCGCCATTGTTGTATTGAAGAGTATCAGATAGATATGTATCATAGAAGAAATCAGCTGTACCATTTATATAGGGTAAAGTCATGCAAACCATGCTCAAAACTAAGCTCCTTAGTTTTGGTAGCATGAAAAAAACTGCATTAGTAAATTGTATGAAATGGTGCAGAATGACTACCACTAATATCACATGCATCTTATGCAGCCATTGGTGTTTTGAACTAGTAAGCTTTGGGTGTAGAGTAAGTGAGATATACAAAGTATGCTTACATTACATGGAGAAGTCAACCAGTGACCGCCCCCACACGCACTTTTAAACTGGCTTATTTGAAGGGGTCCATATTGAATCTGAAATCCCATCTCCCGTAGAAGACAAAGGCATGGAGCCACTTGGTGTAAAAGGGTCGGTGTCCGTGTCCGTTTCCCCCTCTGCTAGGTAGCGTTTCTCTCTCATCCACGCTGAACCCCCATTGGGGCCAAACGGGAAGTCGTCTCTGTCTTGGGAGATACTGAAGCCACTTGGGGAGCGCTCAAGTTCCTCATGGTTGACGGAGAGAAGGGATAATGGAGTATCACTGTCTCTTGTTAAGCTCCTTCTCTGTCTTGGTGACACCTTATCTGAGTAAGGGCTTTGTAGGTCTCCTTGAGAGTGGTAGCTAATCTGGGAGTCCATTAATGTAAATATAGGCAAAACTGTTGGCCTTTCTGCATATGAAGTTGAGGAAGGTGTGGCTTGCAGTTTGCCAGAGTTTTGCCCACCTATTGATAAAGGTTTTGAATGAGTCATATGACCGTGTGGTGAGAAACCATAAGGACTGACTTTGTTGACTGGAACCTGCTGGAAGTTGTAAGGAGTTTCATGAGCACACTGCTCTGTGTATTTATATATTATTGTTTTTAATTCAGAATATTTGTTTTCTTGTCTCTTCTCCTTTGCAGGAGAAGCGGTTTCTTTCAATGGACTTATCTCAGCAACTTGTATTTGCAGCTGTTCCATATGATGCATATGCATATCAACAAGAAAATCCAGTTTCTTCCCCATGTCATTAACCTGAAAAATACCAATATTATGATATTGTCTTAAGTCAGTTGTTCAATGAAAAAGTCAATGATTCCCCAGGTGCACAGCCTCCAGCAGTGTGCTGCCATCTTTATTGGTGGTGAAGGCAATTACAGGATAATCATGACTTTCCCTTGGAAGCTGGACTGCAGTACTGCTGGTTAAACTGGACTGTCACCTTATACTCTAGTGCCTCAGATTAAGAAGACCCATCCCTATGAATTGTGCCAAAAAATTCTTAGTGTTGCTGGATATTTGTCAGTCCAGCATCCAACAGCACTCTACAATGTTCTGACCAAAGTCTTGATACCACACGGTAAACAGCTATTACTAAAATACAACAGATGGAATTACCTTTGCACACAGACCTATTCTCTAGCTCTTACTAGTCCCACAACACCAGAGTTAAATACCAGGACTAATTTTCTTTCTCTGTTGGTAGTACTTTGTGCATGAACATTTATATCCCATGAAAGGAAAGATGTGAATCAATGACACTTGCTTCCATCTTACTTAGTTATGTATTTAAAAATTAGTGTCTCAGCTTGCTAAGGGATAGGTTAGGATGCACAAAGAGGGCCCACAAATACCTGTGGAGGCAAGCCTTTTGAGTGACAGACCCTGCAAACAAAGGTGGTGCCCACAGCAAAACACTAGACATGATGAATATAGAGTTAAAAGAAATTAAAAAGTCCCACCTAAACATCATGGTTAGGATCCTGCTGCCATATATAGTGATTCATTCAACACGTTTCAAAATGCACACTTCTCAGTTAAATTGTTTCAAGAGAAACTAACAACATAGTTTTGTGATCATTGGTATAAGATCTGACTAAGTCTTGATCATCAACAGTACAAATCTGTCCAGGTGAGCCAAAGACTCATCCAGAATTTATGTCAGCTTTATCATTTCTGTACAAGCACTTCAGCCTCCATCATTGTCATGAGATTACATACCTGTCGTTCAACTTTAACAAATTTGCCCATCATACTTTGGTCTTCAGTATCTGCTGTAGATGCTTTGGCTACATATGGATCATTTCTATAAAGAATTAATAACTTTATTAGTGTTCAGTATTCGTTTTCATTACAGCAATTTATATCAGAAAACAGAATTATCATCTCGGTGGTATATTCATAGAGGTCCTTGGGGCCACATTTATGAAGAGGTTGAATTTAGTTATTTATCATACAAATAGGAGCAAAAGTGTATTCTATGTGATTCCTATGCATTTCTAAAATAAATTTTTAATTTAAAATTATTCTTGTTCAAAATTAAGATAAAGTAAAAACAAAACCAAGCAAAAAGTTCAAAACAAATGTGAAATCAATCTCAGGCTTGGTGGAATAATTTCAGGTTTGTCAAAATTGTTGAGATATTCTAGAAAATGGGCCTACGGATGGCCATGTGTTTTTAAATCTAATTCTTTATAATTAGTGTCTTTGATGACTGAATTTGAGTTTCAAGTCTGAGTGGGGTTTTTTTTCTCAATTTCATTAAACCAAATGGTACATGGCAGAGACTGGAAGTGCTGAAAAGAGACAGTCTGGCCTAGAGATTTAAAGTAGATTCCAGAATAAATTTTCTTCTATGTAATTTCCTACTGCCTGTCCATCGGATGGACTGATTTCAGGAGGTAAGAAGATGATCTCTGCTTAACTAAAGAACTTTGATTTAGAACTCCATGGGGTCTAGGATGGTCATTATCAAGTTAAATCTTGATCAAAAGGTTTCCAAACCAATCTCAAAGGAATCTGTGTCTTTCCATAACTTATGTCAACCTCTAGAAAAACAATTTCTAAGCACTTATTCTTTAACATGACTTTGAACAAATATACCCTAAAACTTTTGTTTTAACAGGTTCAGTTCTTCTTTCTGACAAAATTCAAAATATAACTGTGAATATATACTGCAGAAACTATAACTAAAATATGTCAGATTTTGTACATTGGGTTACTGATGGTATTTTCTCATTCAAATTTTGCAATCTGCTTTGCTTCTTTGTCTCTTCCATATATGTAGGTCTCTGTCTTCACATTTACATATTTTTTGGTTTTTCACTGGGTGGGATAAACCAGATAGAGCCAAGTTAATTTATTTTCTGTGAGATTACTTTTGCTCTGAGCAACGATAACAGCTTTGGGGACAGATTGTTGATGGTCTTGTGTGGTTCTTCATGGGTATTTATTGACAGATTGATAGTTGTAAATAACAGCAGAAATGTCATTTATTATTGAATTTTTGCTACCAGGAATGCAGCAATACAATAACATGCTGTAACTTTCACACCCAGAAACCTGGTATTGCAACTCATTTTCAGTAATTATCACCAATCATTGGTTTAAAAACAGCATTATTAAAACTCTGTGCTTGCCATTCAGTAGGGGTGATAACGAAACTTTTTTCACTTCAGGAAGATAACTTATTTACCTTTAAACTATTGGTGATTTTTAATGAGTTTTTAAGTGGGTTTACTAGTTGAATATTAGAAATTCAGCACATCAGCAATCATATTTACATATTTCATATAAAATCACACTTCCAAACCATGGAGAAGTTGAGCTAGACAATTAAGAAGCCATTAAGTTTAGATTTCCATCATACATTGTTCTTAGGGAAGCTAGTGTTTTTCTGGTTCAACATTTACACACACGTATCTTGTACCAACATATCCTCTCAGTATCATTGCTATAGCAGTGTACTGGCTGGATGAGTGGAAGGCATGCTTATTGGTATGAATGAACTTTTTATTTCTGTTTTGGTCTGTGTAAAAGACTAGGCATAAAAATTCACCTGGGAGACTGTTGTGAAGGGTAAGAAAAAGCTCCTCCCTTTTGGGATTTCTTATGCTTGGGAGTAGATGGAGGTCCAGGTGTAAAAATCATATCTACTCTGAAAAAAAGAAAAGTGCAACTGCATAAGTCCATCTCTAAATGCTAACACATGATAGAAATTCTGTGCATCTCTGCAGCAAACTGTAGCAAAGATTCAAAAAGGAAGCATATCCTGATTTGGCAATATATTGAGGATCATGACGTGTTTGTTCTGTTCTGGGTTCACAATCAATGCATTAAATTCTAATTACCTGGTAATGAAGTAATTATCTAGCTCACTGTTTTCAAACTTTGACATTTGGAATGCATGACTTCATTTCCTTCAAAGTAACTAAATAGTGTGATTATCAAAAAACCTCCAATAACAGCTGCTTCTAAAAATATCATTAGAGACTCATCAGGTGTTGTGCCTGATAGTGAAAAGCAGAATTTGGTGAAAGATGTGAGTGAAGAACTAGGCATGTTATATGCTTGAAAAAAAGATAGCCCAGTACATGGAAAAGCATTTTGAAATAAAAAATGAACTGCAACAGAAGGAACAGAGCAGCCTGACAAGTCCAAAGTAAGTGTAGATAAGGTCCAAATGTGCAGCAAGATTTGCACTTGCTCAGCACATTCTTGATGGAAGTCAAGGGTATGTCTGTGTGGCATTTTGCTGCTCAGAGTGACTGGAGGGGCTCAGGAAACACGGGCAGTGCTGTGCTGGGACTGAACTAATATAGGTACACCTGTGTACACTCATGTGCACTCAAATTCACACTTACTAGCTCAAGCTCTGACCTGTGCCCATGGCTCCGGATTCAAGCAGCACACATTTTGGTAGACGTGCCCCAAAAGCTCAACACTTCTGTGAGGAAACGGCTAGGGGACAGATTGCACCTGAACAGTCACAAAGGCCTGAAATTCCAATGTTTTTTCATACAGGTCAGGGGATGTAAAACCTTCTGTGCTGATGTATTTTTGCACTTGTATGAGGTGTTTCACCAGGCACAGGTCAGCAAAGAATCCAGCCCAAAAAAATGTCTACACAGAGTAACTATTGCTTTTATTTATCATCTGTGAGAAGGGGAGAAACATGACCTTAATCAAATAACACAATGGTCAAGAAAATTCACAGGACTTTTCACTCCAATTTCTTTGTAAATATGAATGAGTGATCTCTTCTGCTGCAGTTACCCATGCTAACTCCTCACTTGCCTTTATTCTTTGGGGAAAAGATCTTCTTATTGACCAGCTATGCTATGCAAAGACATAGCTTCTGGGTGGCCTCACATGCAAATAGGCCAACTATGCTTTTATTTTGCCAACACAGCTATACATTTTTCCATTTACTAGAGGATTCTTACCTTGTCTGAAGATATTTTATTCTGGAAAGCATATCAAGATGCCCTGCTGAGTATTGCTCTATCACATCCTTTACATCATAAGGCCTCAAAGTCTCCTTGAATTTTTTTTTATAGAGACGAAACTGTAGTATTCTGCATAATAAACAGAAAAATTACAGAGAAATTGAACCTGTTATTTCAAAACAAGGTAATAAAACATAAGCAGAGAATCTCTATTATCATACACATTTGTAAAGATACAATAGTTGGCTTTTCATAATTAATAGCCTAAAACAAATTATACACACAAAATGTCTTTTTGAACACTATCATAATAACTAGAAATGGTTCAAAGCTACAAGATAATATGTGGAATTTGATTTTGAACAGCACAAGTCACAGGAGATTTTGAAGCTGTGAAGCTGCAGCTGCTTTTTTATGCTTCAGCCTATTATAAAGCTAATTTATAGTATATGTAATGCTGAATCATTTTCAGTTTCGTTTTCATTTTGCACCTGGGAAAGTTTTGGGTAGGAAATGTTAATTAGATAGAAATGTGGAAGTTGGTAAGTCAGCAGCAGTTCAAGTTGTGGAGAAAAGAAAAAGTATTAGAACCACCTGAAATGTCCTTGAAAACAGCAGTATAACATGATAGTTTCATAATAATAATAATAATAATAATAACAATAATGATAATAATAATAATAAAATAGCTGTTATTATTACTATTATTATAAAACATGCTAGTAACTAATAATAAAATTCTTATAACAAGGACCAGTGTTGGCTAGAACACTTGAAAACTGTTTGGCATTCTTTTTTTCATTCTTTTCTGTTTATACATTACTTTAGACTGTTATATCTTGGTAGATTAAATAAATAGACAAGAAACGTATTTAAAGAATGAAAAATGTTACATTTCTTTGTTTGTTTTAGGCTTGGGATCCAAGGGTTTACTTTCTCAGTATAGTCTCCATATTCTTATTGATCTGAATTGGGGCATTACTGTTGTCTGTTAAGTTCTGACCTGTTTTTTATTCAAGGGGTTTTTTAACTTTAAAAAGATCTGTATAAACTTTCATTTAGCAAAAATAATACTGAGTTTCTAAGGGTTTTCAACTCTTTAACTCTGTTGCTTATAAATCTTTTAAGATTTCAAAATTATACCTGTGCCTATTATAATCTAACTACATATAATAACAGCAAAACCATACTATAAAAAAATAAATGAAAAATAGGAATCATACTGTTCACAATTTCAATTTAAAATCTCCTTGATCATGACCCTGAAAAACCATTAAGGGTTTCTGAAAGAATTACTTCCCATTAGCATTCAGGGTCTGGGCAAACTATACAAGAAAAAAAAGTCTGGCTCATGATCGAGTTTAAAGGGAAATTGAAAGAATCAATTAGATTTACACAGGATGTGGGAAAGGAAGTTTTGCAAAAGTAATAATAGCTTGTTTGATGGAGGTGGGGCTGCAAAACAGTACAGATGTATAGTTTGTGTTTGAAAGCAAGCAGGTATCAGGGAAAGAAAGGGAAAACTATGGGGGAAGTAGGGATGAAGAAACTTCCAGGGGGAGGGAAGCAGTAATGGGCAACATGAGCAAAGCCTGTGAGACATGGCTTTCAGCAGGCTTGAGAAAACTGGGCATTTTAATGACTAGTTCTCCTACACCCAGTTGGAACAGAACCAGGAGAATATGTGTTATGGTTATATATATATAACTGTATGTTTATATACTTATAACCACCTGCCTTGAAGCTTTTCTAAGAAGATAATTTTGGGGCACTCCAGACTTGCAGTATTTCACCTGGAAGGTAATAACTCCCTGCCCCAAAACTTAAAAACTTTTGGAATAAAAAGCAATTGCAATGAACATAGGGTATTTTCCTGTAGGGACATTTTTCAAAGGAATAGAGGATAATAATAATAATAAAATAGCTGTTATTATTACTATTATTATAAAACATGCTAGTAACTAATAATAAAATTCTTATAACAAGGACCAGTGTTGGCTAGAACACTTGAAAACTGTTTGGCATTCTTTTTTTCATTCTTTTCTGTTTATACATTACTTTAGACTGTTATATCTTGGTAGATTAAATAAATAGACAAGAAACGTATTTAAAGAATGAAAAATGTTACATTTCTTTGTTTGTTTTAGGCTTGGGATCCAAGGGTTTACTTTCTCAGTATAGTCTCCATATTCTTATTGATCTGAATTGGGGCATTACTGTTGTCTGTTAAGTTCTGACCTGTTTTTTATTCAAGGGGTTTTTTAACTTTAAAAAGATCTGTATAAACTTTCATTTAGCAAAAATAATACTGAGTTTCTAAGGGTTTTCAACTCTTTAACTCTGTTGCTTATAAATCTTTTAAGATTTCAAAATTATACCTGTGCCTATTATAATCTAACTACATATAATAACAGCAAAACCATACTATAAAAAAATAAATGAAAAATAGGAATCATACTGTTCACAATTTCAATTTAAAATCTCCTTGATCATGACCCTGAAAAACCATTAAGGGTTTCTGAAAGAATTACTTCCCATTAGCATTCAGGGTCTGGGCAAACTATACAAGAAAAAAAAGTCTGGCTCATGATCGAGTTTAAAGGGAAATTGAAAGAATCAATTAGATTTACACAGGATGTGGGAAAGGAAGTTTTGCAAAAGTAATAATAGCTTGTTTGATGGAGGTGGGGCTGCAAAACAGTACAGATGTATAGTTTGTGTTTGAAAGCAAGCAGGTATCAGGGAAAGAAAGGGAAAACTATGGGGGAAGTAGGGATGAAGAAACTTCCAGGGGGAGGGAAGCAGTAATGGGCAACATGAGCAAAGCCTGTGAGACATGGCTTTCAGCAGGCTTGAGAAAACTGGGCATTTTAATGACTAGTTCTCCTACACCCAGTTGGAACAGAACCAGGAGAATATGTGTTATGGTTATATATATATAACTGTATGTTTATATACTTATAACCACCTGCCTTGAAGCTTTTCTAAGAAGATAATTTTGGGGCACTCCAGACTTGCAGTATTTCACCTGGAAGGTAATAACTCCCTGCCCCAAAACTTAAAAACTTTTGGAATAAAAAGCAATTGCAATGAACATAGGGTATTTTCCTGTAGGGACATTTTTCAAAGGAATAGAGTACAAAATACCAAGTAGAGGAGTAACAGAGCATCAGTGAATGAACTCTGTGTGCTTGACGTGCTAAACACATTACTAAGCCTTACTAGGAGTTTCCTAACCCTAGGGAATATCACTTGCGATACAAAAATAGAGGTGACACATGTCACAAGCTGAAGAGTGCTGAAATGGAGACCTCAGCATCTATTAAAATATGACAGCTGAGAAGTATATTGCACACTCATACAATTGTGAATAGAGTTGAGTCAGCTCAAAGTTTATTGTTAAGTAAAAAATTCCAGTTTTACATAAATGCTACTATCACTAAATTAAGCAAAATACTATATTTATAACACATTTTGATGAGGAACTGTATACAATATTATTTTGTAATAAATATATTTATGGAGTAATTTGGAAAAATAGTATGGTCAGTGTTACTGAAAAACGTTTTCCTTTCTGCATACTTTCAAAGAGGAAGTTAAATAGGGCCTTTCATGTCTTTTTCAATATATCTAAAATCTAAATTAATCTTTGAATTTAAAAACAATAATAACAGCAACGAATCAACATGTAGCTATGTGGTAATGTGATTTCCTGAAGCATAAGCATTCAAAGAGGAAGCAAAACATTGAGCAGCATCAGATATGTTTACCTCACAGCTCGGATGGCTGTCTTGAATGTGGGGATCATGTCCTCCATAAGGAAGTCACTACTGTCGCCTCTCTCTTCTGCCATGGGTTCCCCTGTTCCTGCATCTGCAAAGCAGGTAAAAAAAAGCTGTGTGAGCAACTGACCACACAAAGTTTAGATGGAGGTCTGGCCAACTAAAGCACTACATAAAGTAAGTGTAGTTTAGCAAAGGAACATCTCTTGCAGGTTCCTCTTTCTCCCATCAGCTCTGGAAAGGGATTTCATAATTTTGCTGAGACAGCTGTAAAACACATAGTTTGAGGGATCCTCTCTCAGATTGTAGCATTTATGTAACTTGGGAACTTTTCTACCTTTCCAATAGATTTAGAAGTTCCCACTTTTAGGAGTTTCTACAATGACAATTCTTTGCCCAAATGATTTTTACTTAAGGCTAAAACAGGTGTAGAAGCTACAGGCCAAGTTCTCCTCCCACTCTGCTACTTGGAGCTCATGTAGCTTGTAGTACAGGATAATGAAGTCCACTGTGGACACCCAGACTGCATCCATGGTAGTCTGCCCAGCATGCACTGATGCCAGCTGGCACAACAAAGGAGAAACTGTTATTTAGAGACCATTTGGACACTACAGACAATAAGAGGAAAATGTGTGCCTAGGAAAGCTGAGAGGAAAAATGACCTATGATGTTGCATGGACACCCAATGGAAATCTCCTAGGGGGCAGCAGTCTTTGGGACAGTGGGAGGGAAGCAGCCATTGACTCTATAAAACAAAGTTTTAAGAGACTGCAGTGAGGAGATATTTGGGATGCCTGGACACAGGTTAGTGCAGCGCTGGATGCAGTCTAGGAGGGAGCTACCTTAGCATAACATTACTGCCCAGTGTGCCCTCTTGTCCCAGGTCAAATAGGTGGATTACACCTACTGGCCATGTCCTATATTGATTGCTGGTTTTTGGAGGGCCATTGTCTTATTTCAAGCCCTGTGTTGCCTGGACTCCAGCAATCATTTCCTGGAGCTTCCCCAAATGTGCCATGTAAAACCAGGGACCGGCCATGCTTAGCCCAGAAAGTCACAAACCTTCAACATAAGATGCAGAAGAACAAAGTAAAATGGGGAGAAGAGGGGATGGATAAAAAGAAATCAACACAGATGGGCTACCTTCGGAGCTTTGCCAAAAAGCGTACGCTTTCATTCGGAATGCAGTGCGAAAACGCTCCTTATTATTCAAGACAACATTCTTAGGCTCTTTTGAAGGACTTTCTTCAATGGCATCTACATTCAGAGGGGTAAATAGCTTTCCTTTAGTATTGGTACCACGAACCCGATCCAAGAGACCCAGCTTTTGGCTACAAAATAAGCAAAAGTAATCAATTTCCTGCTTTGTACATTTTTAACTTGTTTTCATGATGCTTTAATTATATAACGGGCTAAATAAATATTTTGTACACAAGGACACTGCTGGGGCTACCGTAATACATCAATGTCTTTGTAAGCAACAGCTAAGCTCCACAGATAATTAACTGCTTTTTATGAGCATTATTTGTGTCAACGTTGAAAATGTTACCAGAGGGTCTTGCTATCCTCCCTATGTAATGTATCACAGTGCTTCAGCTCCACTATCATGTCTGAAGCAGCAGATTTATTATTAAGAGAAACACCACTACTTAGGTAGTTGTATTGCCTAATGATAAGGATGCTTGGCCTTTCCTGTTCAGTGCTTTCTTTAACTACTAGGTTTGCGGCAGGCTATTAAATGAATAACTCATGTGAATAGCCAGGAGTGAAAGAAAGTCAGATGTGCTGTGAACCAAATAAATTATCAGCAAAACACTGAAAAGGCATTGCCAAGCAATTACTAGGTACATGGTAGGCCAGGCTACCCAGTTCTCTCCACCACTTACTTTCAGTCATCTCTCACTATATTAGAAATTGAGGTCACCTATACGAATTGTAATAAAGTGACATATTTTGCTCCTCTGATGATTCCTTGCACTGCCCTCCTACATATTTACTGACTTAAGACATTTTTCCTTCAGTGACAACAAATAGCTAGAATCACATCTACTTGCCATCTCACCAGCATCCCTTCTGACCAATAACCCTCCTGACAGCCCTTTTGACCGTAAGGGCCTTAAAGGCCACTGAAAGGATCAACACAAAAGGAATTCTGCTAGTGAGCCTATCAGCTTAAACATGTTCTGAACACTTCATAGGTGAAAAATGGTACAATTATTTAATTTGCTTGCTCAATTTGCTGCTTAAATATTTGTCAATTACACATTTGTTTAAAAAAAAAAATGCGGGGTTAAGCCACGGGAAGAAAGCCTGTCTTTTAACCCATTCTTGGAGGTTGCAGTGTGGGACAGGTGGGGGAAAGGTGAATCGTGCCCACACAGTCAAGAGGCACTTAGGAAAGAAGGGCAGGCAGGTTGAGTGTGGGGAAAGAAGCCAGTGCAGCTATCAGGTTTCTGAAAGCCACAGGTGGGAGCAGAGCCGAGCGACAAACAGCAGTGGTAGAAGTACTTATTTGCAGTGATGTTTTCCACTGCATGTCAGTACACTCATTTGTGGGTTGGGGTTGGGTTTTTTTGTGGGATGAGGGTTTAAGGTAGATAATATAAACGAAAAGCATTCCCAAATTCTCTTTCTAGGGAGTATCTTAACTTTCCCCATTGATAAGTGTCAGTTTAGGAACAAACTCTTGTCCAAAACCATTGCTCGAGCATCTTAGGTTTAGGAGCTAGAACCCATTTCATCTGTCTTAAGCTGCTTAAAAAGTTAAATGTCCTGTCTAAGACTAATCTTCATGCCCCTTTCTATAATCAGCAGGAAGTTAGCAACCTACAGAGTGTCGTTCAGTTCCATTTCACTTTGGAATGACTTTACAGGTGGAGGAACTTGTCTCTCGTTATTATCTACAAAAAGATCTAGATGAAAAGTCATTTAAAAAGCAGTCTCTCTCTAAGAGAACTCTACTCTAAGCTAAAGTTACCTGAGCTGAAGCCTTCCTCATTAATTGAGTCTTGATGATTAACCCTTAAAGTAACATTCAGATTCATAACAGTATGTTTATGTAATAAATATAGACAATTGTGTTCATATCCAGGCAGCCAGAGCAGTAGAATCATCAGAAAATAATTCATCATCCTCACATGAAAAAATACAACAGTATGTTGTACACAAAAAAAACCAAAACAAAACCCAAGCTTCTTTCCAGATGATGACTAGCTGTCATCAGACAAAAAAAATGGACTTTATTCTCATTTCCAAGGGATGAAATCTGGGTCTGCTGGGGTTTTTGTTTTTATTGTACTTTTTAAAAGGACTTAGGAAACATTTGTTTTCATGACATAATCTACTTCATTAAAACAGCATGCGCAGGGCTCAGTCTCAGAGTATGAAGCATGCGCAGATCACATCATCCTTCATGAGAGTGGCTAGGACAGTGGTTCCCACCCACAGGTTCATGTATCACTGCTTGTCTACTGATATTAGCTACTCTTCCTCTCCTTGGGACATTGGTTCCACTTCATTTGGCTTCCTTACATTCAATAAAATGTGATTCCTGACTTCCAGAACAATTCCAGAAACTGGGGGGATTCAAATGCATACCCAACACGCTGATAAAAGAGCAGAGTAGTTTCTCTGACTAGCTTGGATACGTTGCTGTTACCTGTCTTGCATGCTATTGCATCCTCTCCCTTGTGGTGGAATGAAAATTTTTGCAAAAGCTTTGTCTTTGAAGTGGAGTCCCAGCAGGAGAACTCCTTAGTTCTGTAGTAGATACCGACCACCATAGTAGGAAGAAGGCAGAAGCAGCACAGACAGTTTGGCTCAAAACCTTCCTACCTAAATAACAATTCAGCTCTCAGATTCTTGCTCCCCAAGGGCATGGGGAATTACTTTGGAACATCTGAAAGATGAATTCATTGGCTGGATACACAAGAGATGGCTGGCTTCTGCAGCAGATGTTTTACCCTTCCTCAGAATAAAGAGTGGGAACCACTGAACTAGAAATACTTTTGCAGAAACAGTCATGCAAGGAAATGATGCAGTTACATCCCATCATGCAAGTCAAATACTCTCCTCTCTGTGCTTTGCCTAGTATTGGAGTTTCATAAACAAATGGATATATGTATGAGAAAAAAGATAATGAATTAATGCTAACAGTGAATCAAACACAGCCCTCTACCATGCATTTACCACTTTCACCTAACAAGGAGTAATAGTAATCAGGATATTTTTTCATATTTTTGCAGTTTAGCTAATCATTAGATTTAGTAACTTTCAGTCGCTGGAAGCAAAAGGCACTCATGTTTACTCCAATATTTTACTACATTATCAGCTGTACTTCAAAATCAAGCATTCTGAATGAGATTTCCAGAAATATTCGGGAATTTGAACTATTCCCAATAGAAATTAACATGAAACTTATGTGAGGACAACCATGAATCCTGCACTGAATACATTCAGCTGATCTCAGAGAATTCACATGTTTTCTTAATATAAAACAAAGATCATTCTACACTTCTGAGGTACTTCTGAACTTTTGCCAATCAGATTTCCCTTTTAAGGAAATCTAGTAACATTCTTTTCTATAGGGAGGAACTCACAAAAATATTCAGTCTCAAAATAATTGACTTTAACTTCTTGACAGCTGATGTCTTCATTTAAAAAGCCACTTTTCACCCTCAATCTTGAGGTCTAAATTTGCAAGTTTCTGATGTCTGAGAAGCAAACACCCTCTTTTAGCCAACCAATTTCCACATTTTTTGGTGATGTATGTCCTCATTGGTGTTTCATTATAGGTATGACTCTAAATCCGAACCCACCTACCATACAGATTATTTGCCCAGAAACATGAACACGAATCCTAACCTGGGCTCAATTTCAATGCCTGTCAGAAAGGGAAAGAACCTTTATACACACAAAAAGCCTTTTCTCAGCCCCTCTTCTCATCCACACTTTCTAAAGTGATTGGAAATGGGTAAAAATAAGCAATGCCACGCAAATCCATGGGGAAAATTATCCAAGTTCAATTATTTGTGAAAACAGGATGGGTGTTTTTAACCAATGGATGCAGCCAGCAATGTAGGTAGAAACCATATGGATGTTGACCCACTCTTTATTTTGCAGTGAACATATCTTCATGTATCAACTACTAGAAATCCAACCAAACTGCAAAATCAATGTCTCTTGACTATTTTCCATGGGACAATCATCCAATGAAAAAATGGAGTGCTTCGCTACCTGCTCTCCAAAAGTTGAAGAGCTTAGGCTAGGAAAGCTGAGTTGTGTGTTGATGATTTCATGTTTGTGGAATGAAGTAGAAATGAGAACAATGAGTATAGTTGAATAATAGCAAGATGTTTGTGTGGGATAGAATAAAATGCTTAAAAATTTAGTCAAAATATTAGTATTTCTGATTATGTGTTTTTCAGATTTTTCAGGATTTATATTTCTTTGCAAAAAAGATAAAGTTCTTGCCTCGCTTCTTAGGTCACAGTTCAGCAAGGTATTTAAGCACATCACTAACTTTATTCAGATGATCAAAAGCATCCACTCGTTTTCCATTTGCTGAACCAGAACCTGCAAATACACATGCAGAGATGTTGTTCTACTGAACTCAAATGCAAAGTGACTTGCATGAATTTGTGTTGGCAAGGTTGGGACTGCATGAGTAACTATATTTAGCTCTTACAGTGTATTTTTTTTAAAGTAAATTTCTAAATTATTTCCAGGGTAGGTTAGTATCACTCCCATTCTATGAAAACAGAGAAAAGCGCTTGGTTTTAAGTAAATCATGGGCAGAGCCAGGATTAGATCCCATGTTTTCTGAACAGCAGAACAATGAACTATCTCCAAGGTCATGCAACTTTCTTTTTATACTTAAATCACTTTTCAATCTTATGTCTCCTTACTTTTAATGGTGGTTAGATGAACTATTTAATAAAAACAGATATTGCAGGCAGAGAATGGCATGCAAGAAATATGAAAAGAGTAAGGCTCAATTGTTACTTGAATGTATATACCTAAGTTTTCTTGTGAGGCTTGATCCAAAGAATGACTCCCTACTAAACATGACATTACTGTAAAGTGAAGAAAAGTTATTAAGATGAGACGTTAATGATTACCCATGAAAAGCTCTATGAAAAAGAATGGGAACAGCCTTTCATTTGTAGTTAATGTAGTGTGCAAACCAGAGTGAATTTTTACCCCTTCCTGTTTTGGGCAGGTGTATAAAGAAGAAATGCTGACAGTGAAATTTTCCACCTTGCAAATTATGACTTTATTTTCGTTACGATGTTATTACTGGCGATACTAAAATGCACCACATTACATGCATTTTTTCGTACATATTAGGAAAGACTAGTACCAATTCTGCCACTTAAAAAAATCAAACCAACTTTCCAAAGGCAGAGAAATATTATTTATCCTGTAGAGATAAGGAAACAGGGATAAATTACTTTCCTGCAATCACATAATATTAGATCTTGGAATTAATGTGCTCTCCTGATGTTTAGTTCTACAGTTGGACAATGCTGATCAGGAGCAAGACCTTAGAAGAAATTTCAAAACCCTTCACTAAAGTGCCTGTACGTACAAGTGATTCAAAACTCTTACAATAGTTGAAATCAGTGGAACAATTGCTAACAACGCTGAAAAGTGAGACCCCCAATTCCTTCCTCAAATATAGACATAAAATGTTGGTTAAAATAAACAACATGTCTACCAAGCAAAGGTCCATCCAGAAATCTGGGATATGTAGGTCAAGCACCTACATTCAGCACATTTGCTGAATGATTTGCTGCACTCCAGCAGAAATGAGCATTAATATATCTTTCTCATAAATTTTCCTTCTTGGGAGCTAAACAGATGAAAAGGCTTTGCAATACATGCAGAAGAGCAATTGCTATCTGAGATTTCATGTGCTGGTAGCTTAAGGCTACTTAAGGAAGAAAAAGCTAGTGGTTTCTCTAGTATGAAGTCAGCAAACTCCCCACAAGTGAGCAATGAATAACAGCCCCAGTTCCTTCTTGTTTGGGGGACTATACAAGGTATGTAGGGAAAATGCCATTCTTAACAGAGAAGCATCATATGTATCACTTCACTGTTTACAGGGCCCAGTCTGCTATGTAGTTCAAGAGTAGTCCAATGTGCTCTTCATCATATCTCACATCTTCACAGCTTTAGTTTAAAGTGAGCTTCTGTAAAGCTTTGGGCTGCTGCCAAACTTTAATTGGCTTTCTGCTATCACAGCCTTGCCTTGGGATCCAACTTCCAAAATGGACTCTTCCAATAGTCTTCCAGGGAAGACTTTGTTGTCTTCCCTGTGTTTTTCCCAAATGGTCTAATAACAAGGAGCTGCATTTAGCTGCGACTTTGTCATGAGGCCAGTGTCTGCTTCCAAGGACAGATCCTAGAAGGATCTACAACTCTACAACTGTAAAGTTCCTAAACAGTTTTCACAACACCAAATAGGAACCCTGTCATTTAAAGTGTTACCCATCCTCAAATTTTCACACAGCCAGGCCGCATTTTTATTTTATTAACTAGTTAAATTTTCTGACTCTTCTGGGAAAGCTTTGGACCAAATCTTCTCTCTCTTTTATCAGCCACTGCTATGACAATGTAGTTTATTATTACGGCTTTCTCATTAAGTACTTAACTGATGCAAGAAGCTGGAGACTGATTGCACTTATGGGCTGTTCTCTCCACTAGGACTGCATTCCCTTATTGCTCATTTATTTCAATACAACCTTAAATGCAAACAGCAATGGAGTACAAGTAATACTTTCTATACTAAATCACTGTAGGAGGAAGAGTGTTTTGGTTATTTTTTTTTTAATTATCTGGTCTGTAAATAAGAGTTTTATGAGAGATGGGAGGTGGGACTGTCAAAACAACCAGATTTTATGGTTCAGTCCCATGTCTACTGAAGTCAGTGGATGCTCCCACAAGTACAATTACTCTTCTGTTTACCTGGAGGATTTCCAGTCCCCCTTATTGAATGCTTATTTCCATAAACACATTCCTGCTAACAGGAACCTGTGCAGGTTTACTGGTGATTTTGTTGACAGTTATTACACATGTAACGACATAAAAGCAAGATATACCCAGCTAGAAAGAGGGGCCATGGGATTACAGTTTTAAAGATTTTGAGCTGTGAGTCACACTTTTCAGTTTTTAATCTAGTGCATCAATATAAAATGATTTCTTCTCCTAGCCTGGAAGGTACAGTAACTCTGAAGCTGCTCCACAAACTGTTCTGTCAGTGCAGGTGCAGGAGCTTCTCTAGGGGAGCTGTGACTGACAGCAAACTGCAGCAATCATTCACTTGCCTCATTTTAATCTGCTGCTGCATCTGAGTCAGAACACGTTTTGGCTCAAGGTATGGAATTACATACTCAAAAGGATTTCAGCTCCTAAACTCTCCCCTACATATTAAAGGGCAAAATTAAGCTGTTGCCAACCCTGGAGCTGGCTAAAATCTCCAGCCATCTACATTAATGCAACTGAGCTTGCTCATGATTGCTTAGCCTGGGCAGTAATGTGGATGTATAGTACTTAAAGTTCATGAAGGTTCACAAACTAGGTAACTCCCACCCAGGCAGTCTTTGAAGAGGAGCAGGTTAGCTCATGATGATGGTGGCAGGAGGATCAAGTCACCTTTTCCCAGTAATTCAGCACTACAGCATTTTCCTGTATCATAAGAGAATTTGAGATTGATTTTTCTTTTCTGATAAAGGAGGCTTGAACCCAAAAAATTCATATGAGAACAGCAAGTGTAAATTTGTTTTTTCTTTCAGTTTCTTTTATTGTAGCTGTCATGTGTTGCATGAAATATTTAAAACTCAAAAGGATAACTTTTCATCTGGCCAGGGACTGGAACCCAGGCCTGTCCTCTGACTAACAGATTTCAAATTTTGCTACAGTTCTTGCTCTTTTTCTCTGTGTTGTAAATGTAGATGCAAATGGAAATAGCTTCAGCACGAGTCTTTGGAACTATTTATCCTTTAATCATTATTGACTCTTTGTGGGTGATCCACTGATAGCAGTTTAGCATTAAGTATTTCATGTTTCCAGCCTAAGAGGTTAAACTATTTTATGTACTTTTGAACCTGCAACTTAGCTGGAAGAGGTTATAAATATATCATTTCCATTTGAGACCTTGCAGGTTGACTCATGGGGAGTCTTCAGTGAATACCAGTATTAGGATCAATGACTGCTTTATTTTCTTTGCTTGCAAATTCCCCAAAGTGACTGGGAGCTTCCCCACCTGTTTCAGCAGGGATGGGACAAGGCCTCAAACCTCACGTAGCTTTTTTAGATGAGGTTGACTATCCTACTGATCCCTCTTAGCCATCCATCTTAGTATTTATCATCAAGAAATCTTTGTCCATGATGAATCTCCACAGACTTGATCCCTTACACTGCAACATTGTTCTTTGCAGGACTGTTGAGCAATAACGTGAAACAGAATGCTAAATTCACCCCAGAACAACCTGGGTGCTAAACCATGACTTTACAGCAGGGATCAGGAGAAATCTAGGCTATGATTAATCATAACACACAATAAAGCTGCTTACAGACAATCAACAACAATCAACAAGCAACATTGCAGTTGTACAATTAGTATTTTAGCTGTGTTGTTAAATTTTGAAAAAAAGCAAGCAATTAGGAGATGGATTGGTTAATCATTTTTAATGACTACCTGTGGTGTTAGTAGCATGTTTTGGTTAACAGCTCACGAATCCACAAAGAACCATTTAACCTGCATCCTCCATTAATTGTATTAAAGTAAGGCTATAATAATGGCAGCTACGTACCTGGTAGTACCATCCAATTGCTCTTTCCTTTTATAGAAGAAAGAAAGCATTACAGGAAAGCAAGGAGAGAAGAATTAACTAATAAATTCAGCAGATTTTTTCAAACAGAAATTTCTAATCTGTTGCTACTGGTTTATATCACTTTTGTTCCACGACCATCACTGACACCAGAGTAAAACCATAATTTTCAACTAGTCATGAAGCAAAGGAAGTGATACAGGTTCCTGAAACCAATCTGTGCTGCTTAGGCTGGCAATCTAGTCTTTGGTGAGAAGTGAACTCCCTTGCCTTCTCTCCCAGGACCTTGTTTGCAAAACACCTATTAAATTTCAGGTCACATTTGAATCACAGAAGAACCTACACACAATGAACAAGCTTGAAGTCACGGTAATGAATCTAGACTCCAGGAAAGCCTGAGAATCATTCTCTGAACAAAACCTGAGGTCAAGAAACCCTCTAGAAATCACTCTATAATGGATAACATGGGAATAGATAGAGAATGAGATGGGATAAAGAAAAGGAAAGAAACATATAGAGCCTTAATTAAACCCTTGTGTTTCTTAGAGATTTTCTATTTGATCTAGATGAGATCAATCCTAAAGAAATATATTGTTAATAAATCAAAGAAAGAGTTAATATTTGTAATTTGCCCTTTGTAAAGGTAGTAGCCTGATATTTTTCTTCCAGTCAGTTTTGAGCAACAGCTGGAGCTGCAGTTTTAGCACAGTGAACGCAACTTACATGTGGAGACCTCTGCTTGAGCTGAGTAGTAATTTAAGGCTACTTTTTCTGAGGGCTTTTTCTGACTTTACAGAAAATGATAAAGGAGAGGTGGCCAATGCACCTACCTGAAAAATGGAAATGAAACAATTGATTCATAAAACCTCCAGGTAGCAACTAGATCAATCCTGTTGGGGTTAGTAGCATAGTATCTCCAGGCAGCCTGAATTACAAGGGAGAGGAAGTAATTAGTGTAAGTTCCCCGGTATGACAGTAGCCAGATTGTTTCAAAGAACACAACAATGCACCTGAGTGACTATCTGGAAATTAATTACTAATCAGCCATACCAAATGGGTGTCACTATATGGCAAAATTATTGATCCTGGATTATGATCTGGGAGGTCTGTTAAAGGAGACAGGACATGGAGACAACCACCAACATCAACAAGACATTACATTTGACTCAACAGGTTTATTCTCCTGTCTGGTATGTCTAAAAGAGCTTCAAGCACTGCTGGACTTCTCCAGTACTTCTAGAATTGCTTAAGCTAGTTTACTATCACCTAATGTACCATCAGAGGAAATTTTGCTGAGCAATTGTCTATTTCAGCATTTAGTTCCAATAAAATTCTCTAAGTACATACCTAAAAAATACTGTAGCTAAATTAACTACCTGCTAAGTAGAGATGCTCTAATTTAAAAAGGTGAATTCATTTCACAAGTCATCTCTGCAGTCCCTTCTTTTTGCTAAGGAGTGTTTTTAATGAGAACAGCATAATACAACATTAAGCCTTTGTTCCCTGAGGACTGGTTTGATTGTGAGCGTTCCTGAGCATCAATGCTTCCATCTGATATCACAGATGCTTTCCTCTGTGGAAATGGTGCCATTCACCTCCCCACATCAGGGTGTGCTCCACACCTACTAAGAGTAACTCCTGTCAAATTTTTCAGCCCCCAGACTAATAATTTTAAGCTCAATTTTCTGAATTTGTAACAAACTGAAGTCCAAGTGAGCTAAGGAGTCTCTTCCCATTGAATCCTCTGATGGACCAGTGATATAACAGAAGATCCAGGATTTGTTTCAGTTTTTACAATGACACATACTATTTACCTCATTTGTCTTGATTGAAACAGTCACTTCTATTGCTGTTCTCACATCAATAACAACATAACTTTGTTTGAACATAAAAGCGCTCTCTCAAGGGAACTGACAAAACCTGGATTTTGGAAAGAATATGTTTTCGACAGCTTGTTTTCTTTGATTTTGTGGCACCGATGCAGAAGTTGGTTGGTTTCCAGAAGCTAGAAGATGAGACCCTTTCTTCTAAAGACACTGTTCTTCTGAAAGATATTCTGAGAACTGAAAGATTCCTCAAAAACTGCAAGGACCTCTAGATTATTTAGTCCGATGTGAAAAAACCTGACTCCTTTACAAACACAGTTTCTCACCTCCTGAAATGGGAAATGAAAATATGGGCAGGGGGGAAGCAGTGGCCCTTGATAACATGACGCAGCAGTCTTCATGCACAACACTTTTTCAAAGAAGGGATAAGTGGCTGCAAACCTGAATGAGTTCAGCTGCTGGCTTTCTTCTTTTCTCAAAATGTTTTTGACGATGTTGCTCCTGGACCTTCAGTGCCAGCCCTGAGCCCAAAATACCCTGAAAGCATAAAGTGATGCAAGATTGTAGATGTTTTTGACTGAGAAAAATCAGATTAGTGATGAGGAAACAGGTCTGTGAGTGGAGATGGAAATGGCTACTTGGAACCTTTGTTCATGCCTTTCCCCCTGCTCCATTCATGAGACACAAGGTTGTCATGATCCTCTGAAGGACCAAAGGCCACACCAAATAATTTTACAGTCCTCAACAGGCTTCTTGAATATCTACTGACTTTCCACACTGGAGGTGTCCAAGTAGTATATTACTTTCCACTCAGGGTACAGTGAAACTATACTTGTGTGACAAAACAGCTATGCTAACCATACCTTTTATTTGGGTGTATGTGAGCTCTCATCCTCCATTAAATTTTTTCCAAGTCTCAGTCTAAAGGAAAAATATCCTAAAATACGGACTTGGGATGGTTTCTGTTGCTATTTGATCCATCTCACCTAGATCTGATCTCATTCTTACCTGAGGACTTTGCAGACAAGGCAAATATTTGGCTTATCTAACACAAGAGAACAAATATACTTTCAAAAGCAATTTAGAAATTGTTTCTTAAGCAGCCAGAGTAGGATTCACCTGGCCTGTGCCAATGAGCTGTCTCAGAAAATGTCCACACGTGGTTGGAGGGGTGTCAGGGTGACATATTATTCCCAATAAGCCCTGTGCAAAGTTGGGAAGAAAGGAGTTTGATTTACTGTTATAGACCAACTCAAGTGTTGTAATCAACTCTTAAAAAGGGCTTTTAATTCCACTGGCAGTTTTGATCACTTTACCTCCTTTTCGCAAGTGCACAGCACTGGGCTGTGCCTAACAGAGGAGGAGGAAGGTACTTACTGCAGGAAGAGCAAAGAAAGACACTCCAATGAGAGAGAAAGTAGCTGCAATCAGCCGTCCCTCCCATGTTTTGGGGGTCTTGTCGCCATACCCAATTGTAGCGAGGGTGATCTGTGGGCAGAATGACCAGGACTTTGCATAAGAAAATGATAGTCAACAGCTCTGCTTTAAATATCACCATGATACCCGCATGACTCACTTAGCTCTATGGGTGTTCATGGACAGCTTCTTAAAATAAGATCTTGACTTTGGGCCAACTGATTTTTTTTTTTAATGGCATCTTAGTCCAGAGGCATTGCACCAGGGGGAACAGATTTAGTCTTAAAGCAGCTGCCTCTCTAGGATGCACTTGCTCAAAGGGAATACCATGTGACATTGCATGCAGAGTCTCCTGCCCACCATCAGTGCAGTTAGGAATTGGACTTTCCAGTTTACAGCTTGCAGAGCTGTAACTGTTTAAGAAACAATCAGGGCTACCTTTCCCTGAAGTCTCAGCCTCTGTAAAACAAATATGACGGTGAAAACTCACTCCATTCCTCAACAATTGCTAATTTCCGGCTGTGTACCTCTTCTTACCAGTGAGGCTCTACATAAACATCCTGGATATGTAAGGATATGAAAATATCCAGGTGTTCTATGCAACACCTGGGACCTTTTGATTAATAATGGTGGGGAGGGATCTTGCCATTTATGAGTGAACTGCAGTAAATGAAAAAAATATGTTTCTGCATTTTAGTTGCAGCACGATACAGACTCCCCTGTCTGCCAGGTGGCAGGAATATTTTGTGATCAAATGAGAAGTACCATAATGCAACACTCCTCTCTTCATCAGAGACAAGAACAAATGCATCAAAGGTCGCTCTTGCTCAGTATCCTACCACCAATGGCATTCCCTCTGTGATTCTTTGGGAACACATGCAAGATGCAAAAGTCTTGAGTTATCCTTTCCCAGAGGCATTTTAGAATTGTTAAATTTCATCTCATTAATCATTCCCTAATGCTCCAAACTATCTAGATCCCTCTGCAAGGCCTCTTGTACCTCAGTCAACAGCACCTCCCAGGTTGGCCAGCTTTGGTTTTGCCTTTTTCTGAGCGATCTTTCTCACAGGCAGGATACTGCTGTGATGAGAGCTAGGTCTCTCATAGGCATAGGCTCTGCCAGTGCAGTTATAACCAAAGAGACACTCCTCTAAAAGAGGGGTTTTCTAGAAGTCAAGAGCACAGATTTATTTTTGAAAGGGGTTTAAACACCTAAGGGCCTTTGTCTGACTGAAAATCAACAGGGATACAAGTTCTGTTAAATGGTTGTAGGGGCATCCCTACTTTGGTAATGTTACACTGGTAACATGCTCCTCACCTGATTTAGCAACAGTTATAGTGCAATCCTTAACATCAATACTTTATCTCTTCTTGGATATGAAGTTTTTAATAAGGGGATAAGGTATTTTTGGAGTCACTTACCAGCCCCCACCACAGTGCATCTGCATAGGTTTCAAACTCTTCCTTCATCTCCACCCCGTTAGCATCCTTTTCAGGAACATCTTTTTCAACCAGATAAACAAGAAATGAGGATAGGATGAGTGTCAGGAACCCGATGTACCAAGCAGTGATGAGTTCCTGCAAAATAAACAGATGGACACTAGAGGGCCTGAAAACAGTCTCAGTACCCACAGTGGCAGAGTAAACGTCAGGAGAAGAGAGAAGGAGTGAGGAAAACAGCAGAGCTGTCGCTGCTGGCTTGGTCACAGCCCATGACCAGCCCACCTCAGCACTTACTGGGAAATAATGCAGAGATTTACAAGAATTAGCCCTTACATGGCATCTTCCTTGGGAACAGCTTGGAGCAATCTGCAGTTGTAGTTCTGCTTAAAGCTGGGTTAAGGGCTTAGCTACACACATGACACAGGGTGTTGCAGGGCTCTGTCCCTGACCTTGACTTTCCCCATTCCTGCTGCCCTTAGGCTTGGTCAGTCTTGGCAGGCAAATCAACCGCTCTGCCCTCTCCCTACCTCCCTAGAGCCAAGGCTGCAGGATGCAGTTTATTTTCTTTAAACATATCAAAGCAGGTTCTAATGTATGATTTCATCATGAATTGATGCAATAAGAACAGACCTTGAAAATCATCTGTGTGAAAACAAACCTAAGCTTCCTTGTTTTCGAGAGTGACTACAGTGGAGTATGTGGTTAATCCTACTGGGGTAGAAGATGCAGCAAACCAAGTTCAAACCCCAGCAATGTCTGAAACAAAGCAGAAGCTTTTTTGGGTGAAGTACCACAAGTGGGTAAAAAATCAATATTCCTTTTGTTTTCTGAGAACTACCTTATTGCATCCAGAAAAATAAAAAAGTTGCAGCTGAGAATTTAATAATTGAGTCTCAAGATGTCAAGTTTCTTGGCTGATTTCTGGTGTGCAACCACAGAAGGAAATTTGTTGGCTAACCTTGTTATCAAAATTGTTTCCTTAGTGTCTCCAGTGAAGCAAAGTTCTTGCAACTGCTTCTTATCTCCCACAGCCAGCTGAGGTTTAAAGGGTGATGGTTGGGAATCAAACAAGGAATATTTGAATGAAATTCCACACAATGAAATCTTAAACAATTTCTAAACAGTGTCTTCAGCACATAGACTTCTTCCATGATCTCAGATTCCTGAGAAACTTTTTTGACATAAGTGTTTATGTGCCACCTGCCTTGTAGTAAATTTATATGGGGAAGAAACAGAAGTTGGTATGAAACGAAGCAGGGTGGGTATCCCTATCAGCCACTACAAAGAAGCAAAGTCTAATTATGCTGTGCCAGCTGGCATTTTAATTTTAAAGAACCCCTAAAATGTCAGGAATGTCATTCAAGGATAAGAAAAAGCAGTGTTTAGCACAGAGTATATGCAATTTTTCTACACTGTGTGCAGATGAGAAATCTCATCTAGAGGATTTGTATGCAGATAGTTTTAAACTTGTAATAATGCTTGGTGAAAATGCAAGAACACAATGTGTCTTTCTGGTGCGAGACAGAATGTGTCTGACTATAGCATCAAGTTAGTCTGAGCAAAGATGATTTTAGAAATTTTGTCTGTCTGGGTTCACACTGTGTGCATCTTTTTATTGCCTGGCCCATGTTTCCAAAGAGAAATTATACCAGTAGCTCCCTCTGAAACCACATTTTTGCTAACCAGCCTCTTTCCATCCCTTCAGAGTCCTGCTCCATCTGTTGATCATACAAGTCTGTGAAGTCTTTCTGTCAAAGATTTCAACATACTTCACCATTAAAGGGATGGCCCTGCTTTCATTCAGTGTAAAGGCAAAATTCCTGTTGTAACGAGTGTGGGAATGAACGCTCTCTCTTGTCAGTTCCCAGCATCACTACTGAGTAGAGAAAGGTAAAGCAAGGGGTAGAAATGGTTGAGACAATGGGAGATGGAATAAAGCTAAAAGAGCAAAACTGTTGCTTGAACTAAAAGACATAATCCCAGTGCATTGTTGTACCTGTGAATCCCTTCTCTTTCCTTTCAATGTCTCTCCCCCAAGCCCCAGTTAAGCCCTGCAAGCTCTTCACTTACTTTGCTGTGTGCACAAATGGCTGATCCCAAAAGTTTCCATGTACCTCCCCGCCTGTCCATTCGGAGCATCCGTAGGATCTGGAGGAATCGGAGGCTTCTGAGAGATGTGGCCAGAACATTGCCCTGGTTCCCAACAGCAACCACTGGCACTGAAGCAATCAGCACAAAGATATCTGCAAGGCAAAAAGAACCAAGTCTGCCAACAAAAGTAGCCTTATCACCTGCTTCTTAATCCCATCTGGTGGTGCTGTATATTTCCCTAGGCAAATTTTAAAGTTGCCTGAAAATGTTTTCTCTTGCCAATTAAACAGATATCTGCACCTGCCACACAGCCAGCGTCATGCACAGCACTCACCAGAAAGCCTCGTAATCTATTTACAGGCTGATGCACTGGACTTGAGACACTGAACGAGTTTAGTGATGAAACAGTGTCCAAATGATGAAAGCAAAACAACCTTGTCCCACAGGAATACCTTAGTGAACAGGTCAGCAGGTGAGAAATTCAGTTTTTCATAGTGCATCTAGCCGTTTGTTCTTCTGGCTGAGTTTTCCCTTTAAATACTCAAAGTTAGTAATACTATTTTTTATAAGTGCTCACAGGGCCAATTTGCTGATCAACTGAAACCTCTTGTAATGCAAATCACATCACTTCTTCTTGTTTAATTTATTTTTCTTTCTTTTCCTTGTTTCCCCCCTGTTTTTTTGATCCTATAAATATATGAGAAAAAAGTGGTACCAAAAGGCTTCTAACGTTCTATGGGCACTTGGTCTTTAAATTGTCTTCACATTGTATTTCCAGCCAAAAAGAGTGTCACCAGATGGATTTCAGATTTATTCGCTTTCAATCGTTCTCAAAGCAAAGTTGTGCCAATGACAACCAAGAGATGACATTAATAAATCCAGTGGGATCTTTTCTGTTCTTTACCCAGATATCAATGAAGATTCATTCTCAGAACTGAGATGACGCTTCTACCAAGAAGCCTGAGACAGCATCAATCCCACTTGCTCACACTGTGTTCTGCTGCTTTCACAATGCTATTAGAAGTATAGGAAGTATTTATACAACAGTAGCACCCAAAGGAGCCCTACTAAATTGAAGATAGCATAGATGCACAAAGAAAATTTGTTCCAATTTTGTCTCCCTTTTAGACCCAGAAGATGAAAAAAAGGAGGGAGAGGGAAGAGGGTAGTATGTACTCATTTGACTGCAGCACCACTGCTCCCCAGAGTACTATGTGCTGTACAAATAAAGAACAAAAGGCTAGTTCTTGGCTTGAAAAGCATCAAAATAAATGAGGGAGTCCTGGAAACAGTGAACGAATGTGGATGTGTATGACAGGTGTTCAGGGCACAGTGAGCTCCTAAATGTTGGTTTGGTTTGTGGCCATAATGAGGAGTTTCAGGAGGGGATTCAGACACGAATAATGAGTAGTTTTATGAGAGTTGTATAGCAGTACCTTCCAAGCCTGAAAGATAACATGGGTGAAATTACAAAGACATTTATTTGCAAGTGCAGACCAACATTACAAAGGTAAAATGCAAGATTTGAATATGAAAGAGGGCTGGGAAAGATGGCACAGAGATCTGAAGTGGTTTGTTATTTTGGGATGAACATAAGAAAGATGCAGTGGGGCTCAGGACATGAAAAATGTGTTTGAAGAGTAGAATGATCTATTATTTTTTTTCTCACTGACCAGCCACTCAAGACTATCTTGAACAAATCATTACTGCCAGGTACTTCAAACAACTACTCCAAGCAGGACACAGCTCCTAGGACAAAAGTTCTTTACACTGCCATTCACTGGTTCTTGGACAACCCCCCAGACTGGCTTAGAAGGAAAAGGACATAACAGGGAAAACAGTAGTAGAAAGCATGTGCTTACCCAGCATGCACAAAGGCTTCCTGGCAAATTTGAGTCTCCCCCTCCATCCTTTGTAGCGACAGCAACACCCAGCAGCCCAGATTCTTAAGGCAAACTCTGCTCCAAAGATGAAAATGGCAAAAGTTTCCTGTATCAAAGACACAGACTACATTGTTAGACTTGTGACAAGTTTTGAAGTAATTCTGGACACATAGAGGTCGCTGAAGGAAACAGATGAAGTACAAGTGTTGGGGTATGTGAGTGTGAGAGAAAGAGAGGAAAAAGTGGGGAGGAGAATCCAGGTTGATGAAAGAGGCAAGGCAAAGGAGGACATAACTTCACAGCCTGCTAAGTGCTCTGCAGAAAGGATGTGCCTCTGCTGTTGGGTAAAAGTGAAATGCTTACCCCACCTTGACGGAAGGGCAATTACTTCACAAAAAGACCTCCTGCTTCACACAAAAAAAGAAGACATATATGAGTAGTGGCTGCAAAGTCCCCAGTGCACTGCATACCTACACCCAAGGTAACCGACCAGTAGCTTGTTCATGCAGCTGTATTTATAGAGACAGGGATAGGATACCGTATATTCATATGCTCATAAATTTAAGGCAATGATAAAGGCATATATAAGACAAATTTAGGTCATATATTGTTTCCTTAAATTTCTGGTGCACTAATAATGGGATTTTCCACCTTGCTCAATAACTCTTCTAAGCACGGGGTGGGAATGGAGAGGAAAGGGCTTCTCTGAGGTGCTCAGCGGAGATGGGCCAAGGGCAGCATGGGGCACGCAGTTACTTTTCCTCTCTCTGAACAACTGACAAGGAGGAAAGTTTTTTTTTTCCTGATGCTCATGCCCACAACTGTCAAGGACTTCTTAAAACCGCTGAGCGCCACATAAAAGGAAGAACAGGAGAAGGAAAAATAACCTCAGGCTTTTTCAAATGTGAAAAGATAGGTCTAAGCAAGGTAACAGGGACCAAAAATGAGTTTCACATTCCCTCGGGGATGAGGGTGTTTTCATACAGGCACTTTTTGAGAAGGAACATGCAAGGGGAATTCACCTTTCATTCCTTTTGCCATTTAGTTCCAGCTCGGATCTACTTGTCTTGGGGGGTAAAAGGGGAAATGGAAATTGAGATCCTGGAACTACTCTTGCTGTGCAGTTTCCCTGGGGATGCTTTTCTACAAGGCCAGGTTAAGTGAGACAGTGCACCTTGTATTTCATGATAGCTGTGGGAGCAGACGAAGTTCTTTGTTAGGGTCATTTTCATAAAATAATTAATACATCATGTTTATAATTAGTGAGGGTTTTTTTTTCCTATTCTTTTCCTCTTCTGCCAAATGGGAGGTCTATGGAAATACAGTCTTGAGCATGAACTCCAGCATTTATAAAACAAGCATGCTAGAAACACAGAGAAAAGAATATATTTGCTGCAAATACATTTCTTCTCATGGATAGTCATTGGAGACACTGCTTGCAACAATTTCAGTTATGCTGCTATTGAAAGAGATACTGGAATTGGTAGGACCCCCCAAAAATGCTCAGGTCTGGCATGGTCAGTTGGAAATGTATTGATACTTTGGCGGAAGAAATGTTAGGCAAATGCTGAAAAGCCATTATTTAAAAGTCTTGGGGTGGTATTTTTCCTCTCTCCTTACTTCCCTTTTACTCATTCGGTGTTGACGATGGACTGGGAACTCTCCAATAATATGTAAATGTACGGTCACTGCTCCAGGACCTAGAAAAGTCATCTTATTGCATGCAGAGCTTGGAGTAAGTTTCCATCACTGCTGATGGGGCTGATTTCAATTCAGGGACATTACCAGGGTGATGCAGCAGCCAGTCTACTTACCAGCAAGAGGAGCCAGTCTCCTGAAACAGTTTCATACTCCTTGAAAGTTGTCAGGACAGCTAAGATCAAACACCCCAAGACAATCAGAAATCTGGAATGAAACAAAAGCAGAAACCACAGCATTGTTACCCCTCTCTGTATTTGCATTGGAGATATTGTGTATAAAAACCTTAGTGGAGACCTTCAGAGGATGGGCTACTTCTCCTCAGTGAGCAGTGAGGTGGGATGTCATGAAGATCAAGGGTTCTCAACCTGGATGGGGGGCCTGGCAGTGAAGAAATCATGGCAAGATCCTCAATCAGAATAGTTCTGGGACAGACATGTATTAATTAACTTGATTGAATTCTTCAGGAAGGAAATGGATGATACTTTATTTTGGGAAAAGATTGTATGGTATGGTAGAAGACTGTAAAACTCGGACGTCTGTTCCAAGCTGATGTCCTTTGTGCTTCACAAAATGGCAGTGCAGTTACAGTGGAATAAATCTTGGCACATCCTGAGACCTGAGAAACAGTAAACGCTTCAGTACAATGCAGCACCAGGACAAATCCTCCCTTGAAAACTGCACTGCATTTCTTTTTTTTTTTCCCTTTTTTCATTCATTTCTATGCAGATGAAAAGATAAAAAGGTTTGAAAGAGAAACAATAGAGAAGGTAAAGTTCTACTCTCCAGTAAACACAATGCATGATAAATCACTGCCCCTGGGCTACTGCCTGTCTGTGAGGCTCCAGAACACAGAGACCACAGAAAATTTAACTCCCACTGCTGGTAAATCCAATTCAGTCCAACCTAAAGTCATGTTGATCTGCTTTGTAAAACTATTCCCAGGTTCAAGCTATTCAAAATCTTTTATACATAAAGAGATAAGAAAAATCAAGGGAGTCTCATAAGTGATTACTGTGAAGCAGACTGGGGGAAGATCATATTCTAGTACTTAATGTACCCAGATCATGGGCATTTTATGTGCTCCCAAAACCTGATCTGCAGGGACAGAGGGGCAGGTGGCCATGGAAATATTTCAGAGCTTAGTGAATAAATTGGAAGGACATCTCCATAAAAGTCCTGGATCCCTTGCTGTCATAGTTAGGCTACATCAAAGAAATGATACAGATCAGGTACTGAAATCATCCAGGGAAAAAAGCTTGTTAAGACTCAAACTATGTTTAGTGTGTACTACCTGTTCTGAATTTCAATCTGATACCTAAAGTGTTATTTCATTTCCTGCTGAATAAAACTCCACTTTTTTTCAGTGGGTGAAGAGTTGAGTTCACAGCCTGCAGTGTGGAGGAAGCAAGCAAGGACCATGGGAAAGGGGGCTCAACTCAGAGACACGTACGCGTCCTCTAACCTGTCCTGGGGTTTTGTTTCCTTCACATATGGGGAAACCTAGGGCTAGGGGAGTGTTTCTGAGGATTTGCAACATTTTGGCAGCTGGAGTAAAAGGAGAGAGGGGAGCTGCACAAAGCTCCTGATGACTTTGGCGGGGGGGATCTCCCCTAACCAGAATTAACTAGCATCTTCCATGCAATGAAGAGACAACAGCGAAAATTTACAGCAAGACCTGAAGGATTATTTGCTGTGGTGTTCCTAACATTACCTACTCAGACTGAAGTTTCCTACGCCAGGAAAATTTTAGATCAGCCATTTCAAGCAAGGTTACAACAGAAACAAAAGTATTTGCTCACGCTAAATAATTCTGGACTTCTTTGACAAATTTCACCTTCTCCCACTCGCCAGTCATGCTCTAGGGTGAGGGTTATGTGATTGGTAGGAAATAGCCTTTGGGTCCAGAATGTGTTCTTTAACATCTACCTATAACCATATTCCTGCTGCTCGAGGCATTTCGCTGTTAACTTGGCAATTTCGTGATGTTCCTGCCATGCCCTCAAGCTCGCTTTGTCTCACCATACCTTGCTGTCCCCATCTTGAAGTTACAAAGCCGGTGGCCAGTGGCCCAGTAGCATCCCAAGACCCATGATCCAGCTACCCTGTGCCTCCATGAGCAAACGGGTGAGAACTCAATCGAGATGACGATTCTTTCAATCAGCTATAAACCAGCTATGATCTGCCACATTACAGCCATTACAGTGGTACCATCACTAATTCTCCATTTAAACCCTTGAGCTACTACTACTTGATGCTTTCCATTACAGCCATTTCTTTATACTATGTAAAAATTCCGTCACCCATCAGCTCACAAGTATCATTTAAATGATTTAATGGAAGGCAAAACATACTGAAAACCGTCCAAGGAAATTACATCATCCGCTACTTAAAATAAAGACATGAATTTATGATATCATTCAACAGAATTGCTCTGTCAATTAAAGATGATGTGCAGATTTTTGTCCAAGAGGAAGAGAGAAGAGAAGTCAGTAATGAAATCGTCATCTTTTGCCTAAAAATGCCTGCGGTTTTACCACTAGAGGGTGGCGGTGCTCCATAGAGCAAAGGGATACAGCTCTCACTCCTATTTTCCTTCCCAATAAAAGAAACTCAATGCAGGTGATGTTCAGGTGATCACACCCATGTATTTGATGTGCAAGAAAAGGAGCGTCACAGAAGTGAAAAGGATTTTCCTTGGTCACTAAGACACCCAAACACTGTGCATTAACACACAAGGGGTGCTGCCAGCTCAATCACTCCATGAGCCACAGCCCATGCTGCGAGTCCCATTGCTCAAAGTGAGAGCCCACCCATGAAAACAACAGATCATGCAAGACAAAAAAACCCCAAAACCAGTAAAAATAGGGTGGGAGAGTGAGACTGGAGAACAGAAGTCACCATGAATAATTTTGATGGCAAAACTGAGCAGTGAATGTGGTCTGAACCCCCCAGTGCAGGCAATGCATGAATGCAGCCCAGAAGACTGCCTCAGAGGTGCGAATGCTAAGCAGGAACTGCAGCCCCAAAACCCACAAAGCCCACAGAGCCAGCCTCCTGCAGTACTCTGCAGTGTGCAGGGATGAAAAGCCTGTGTTGGGATACATAACCACAATCCATCTTGGAGGGTTCAGCTGTCCTACTGAAGCATCTGAAATAGCAACCGTGTTCAGAGCACTTAATGAATTTTAATCTCCATTGATGCTATGCAACCCACCAATTTCCCTGCAGCCTCTTCTGTTTCAGATCTTGGTGTTTAGGGAACCTGCAAGCCTTCTTGTCTCCTCTTTCTATGGAAGTTGCTACCGAGGTGTCATGATTCTTTCATCAATCCCCTTGCTCAGCAAAGATGATAACAAGGTACATCTTTAACTTGTTGCTTATGCCCATCTTGTGGGTATATACACTATCTATACCCATATTGTGGCCTTGCAAACATAAAGACTCTTAGCTTGCTTGACAGTTGTTGAGTCTATGCTGTCCTATGGCAACAGGACAATATCTGAGTCTGTATTGTTTAATTTCATCTTTTAGAGGTAGCAGTGTGGGTCCAGCAGTTGAGCCTGACTGCAAAATCCTAGCAGACAAATTGCAGGGAAAGAAACTGCTGAATTCAGAGAGGTTGAGCAGAGGGGAGACTAACACTGACCTGAGGAATCAAGGGGCAGAGAGGGAGAAAGTCTCAAATTTACCCACAGTTATAACGATACTATCCATTGGACATAAAACACCGGGGGTTAGAAGAAAGAAATAGGGTAAAACTCAAGGTTGAGGAATGAAAACGGAGTCCTATTAAGCCTAAGTTTCCTATTGAACAGTGTTTCAGCAGGTGGCATTCCAGACTTCAAGATGGGATATGCCAAATAAGTATCTGAATTTGGTTCCTCTGTTTTTAGAATCATCCTTGCTATCATTTTACATCATTTTGCACATCCGATTACATTGTACCTTTTTGCAGTATTATACCTAAAATCCTGATTAATTTTTTGTATGCATAAGTTCCAGACCACCAAATAGCACTGCTCTTTTGTCACTGTCACAACGAACATACTATTCTAGTAAATGAATGCTTGTTATTGGAAATCAAATTTAACATTCATATTTTTTAATTGTACCATTTTGTTGCATTAAAGACAGTATTCCAAAAATAAGACATATTTTTTCCGGGAAAGAAGAAATAATTTATGACTACACTGGACTATGAATCTCCTGTTTCTTGGATGAACATCACAGACTGTTTTGTTTGATAAATTTCTTTTAATATTTCACATTCTTTGAGTTTCTTCTTCTATATCTGCTTTCATTTGAAGCCAATATAATGCAGACCTAGCTGAGAACTTTTACATTTTTTCCATATATAGATTCTTATCATGTATATTGTTCAACATCTCTTGCTTCAAAATTTTAGAATCATACAATTTTAAGATTAGGATTTATGTGATTTGCTTTAGGAGCTGTTCACATGATTTGCCTATAATCTATTCCAAAACATAGCAGTCCTTGAAAGCCTCTTAAACAGTTACAAGTAAGAAATCCCCTCCAGTGCAACAGTGCAACTGTTTGCTCTCACATCTTCAATAGCATTTTTTGCAAGCCATTGGAATTTCCTCTGTCTCCAAATGTTTGCATGAATCTAGGATTTTTCTCCTTTCCTCCATTTGATCCTTTCTTGTTTCCCTCAAAACTTGTGTTCTAGTTTCATTATGTTCTGCCACCTGGTAAATGCTAATGGAATTCTGTAAGATTATATTAGGAAAATCTGGCAGTGTTTTGTTCAATCTTTGGTTTACAGTTCCCAATGCAATATGGTCCTAAAACCATGGTTCCCACACACTTTCCCAAATTTCATATTGGAACAACCTTATTTTCTTCAACTATTGGCTTTTACCCATAAGGATTAAAAATGCATCTTTTCTCACAGTTCTTTCAGTTGCTCTCTATTCCTACCCACCATCTTTTTCTCTGCATCCGAACTTCAGTTTTCACAGAACATCTGCAGAATCTTGCACTGATCGTTTTATGGTTGCTAATGAGAGGCTTGAGTTGGGATTTTTAACACTATAAAAATGACATTACCAAATATTTGAGAACAGCTCTTCAGAGAGAAGGGAATGCATGCCTGCTTTTCACAGACTTGGGAATACTCGCTGTTTAATATTTAGATTCTTGCATCTCTGCCATCCCAAGCAATAGGCCAGTTACTCTTACAGAGATCAGTACTGAGATAGAGGTGACAGGAAAAATCCCAAAACTTTGTGAGGCTACAAATGTGCACTGTGCAGAAGGGTATGGGGATGTCCGGTGAGAAACTCAGTAGAGGTCTTGGAGGAGGAGGAAAAAAAGCAGCAAGTGCTTCAGGTAGGGATGTTCACAGGTTCCTCTCTCTCTGCATCCACAGATCCCTCTGAGCACACACACACACACATCCACAGCTCCGGGCAGGAGTCCCTGGCCCAATCCCATCACAAAGCAAGGGCAGGGTAGAAATGCCATGCTCAGTAACCTGAACTGCACTCTTGCTGTGCTGCAACAGCAGAGAGAGACACCCTTCACAAGACACTGGGAGAAAACCTAGGAAGAAAAGAAAGATCCCTAGTCACTTTGGCATACCAGCTGATCTGGCAGGTGATGAGTGGTAGCCCAGAATGACACTAGTCCATTGGTGACCATCTCCCAGTAGGAAGCTGAGCCAGAAAAGCTTAAATGCTTATTTATGCCATGTTTTTTATGACCTTGGGTTCTCATTGGCAGGAGTTCCTCTGAACGGCTTCACTGCTGTTTCCCTAAGTTTGGAAAGCTTATAAAAAGCAAGATCTGGGAGAGGAAAACTGTGCAGGGGATTTAAGGCGCAAAAGAACAGCTTTTAAATCAGACAGTTCCTCTCTCCTGTCCTCTACATACAAGCCAAAAGCCTGGTTATGGCCTCCTCTTCTTTTAGCTTTTTCTTCAGGTTCAGTCCTAAAAACTTTTTGCTTCAGTTCCCTGTGTACCACTGGTTCCAGCTTCCTTACAGAGCCTAGCACACTGGTACAAAACATTTTGGGTCAGCAATGTCAGACAGCATGAACAACATCATCCTGGATTTTCTGCTGTCAGGGACATTTCAGAAGAATGGCCTAACACATTTCTTAGGTTTGCTGGCATAAGAGTACAAAATAGAAAGGTCAGTGCACTGTTTCCCTGCCTGATTTTTCCCAGTTTGGAAGACAGGAGCCATCCACTAAGAGCCCCATTTCTACCTTGTCTCTGAGACAAGTCTTAAAGATGCTCTGAAAGGTCTAGCATATATAGCTTACAAGAAGCAGCCTAGACACCTTAACCCATGGGCAACTGGGGGACAGATTGCAGAAGTGAAGGAGAGGCAATAGCAGCATTAACTACCAAGGAGGTAGATGTCTCTTGTCCTCCTGCAGCTTGAATAAGGATAGAAAAGCTTCTGAGAGTTGCAACTAAATATCCTGAGCTGCTCTGTTAGTGGCTTTAAATTCTATTTTTATATTAAGTGAATGACATTGGACCAAACTATTGTTTGGGGCTTTTATCTGCCATGACTAGTATGCCTGTCCATGGGCTTATCTCTGAGTGGCAGCATGCTGCTAATTGAGTTGAGACACACAGACTATGAAACACGGTGGGCCATGCGGCACTGCAAAGCAAGGGCAGCAGACACCCAAACCGCATTACCCAGCAGCCCCAGCTGCAATAACCACAAATCAAATGAGGTTCAGAAATGCTTCTAACAGGACTTTCTCCAAAGGACATTAACAAATTTGTATGAAGTCATTTGAAGGTAAACTTTAAGATTCATACATTGGTTTCTGCTAAATTTTGTGAAATGGAAGTGCAGGGCATTTGAAA